CCCCAAAACCCCAAAACCCCAAAACCCCAAAACCCCAGGTGAGAAATAATAATTTGAAATAGAATATATTGCATTTATGGAAAACTTGTTGCACTGGAAGATTAAAGGTAGGGATTTTGAGTAGAGGTTTGGGATTTGGGGAGGAAGGGGCTTTGGGAGGGGAGGGTGAATGGGAGGGTTGTTTTTTGGAGGTTGGAATGTTTCTGATGTGTCGGTATAGACAACTGATGTTTGTCAGGACTGTCGGATAGCCCAGAAATTCCGGATTGGAGTGGAGTTGAGATTCCGGAAGATGCTGGTGTTAGGCAAAGTGGTTGTTCGAACAGTTTGTTTGAACTCCCACCGAATTTGTTTGATGGAGATCTCCTTGATCTCAAAGAATTTGAAGAGTTTTGTCTAGACAAATCTGAATTTTCAAATGTAAAAGAAAAAGATGTGATCAAGGAAAATATTCAAGATGAGAGTACTGCTTCTGTTCCTCTGCAGAATTTTACTACTGCTGTGAATCAACCAGAAGAAACTAAGATAGGAAAAGAGATCCAAACAAGATGGGGGAGAAAGCAAGACGAAATCCTATTCAAAACTATTAGAGAGATGGAGCAACAACAGATTATTACTCTAGATGAACTTCTAAATTGGGATCATACTTTGACACTTAAGGACAATGAGGCTATCCAAGAGCTATGTATCAGGTCTCAATGGAAAGCTCATCCTGGTAAACTCCTAACAAGGATACAGTCATTGTCTAAGCATGAGTTCTCTTTCAGAGAAATTAAGAAATTAAAGCAAATTCTTAGGAGAAAATATAATTATAAGAATATTGATTATAACGAGGTGATCTATGGGTTCCCTGGAAAGTCGATGGCTGCACTCAAGAAAATGATTAATCAGATCAAGGATTCATTCAAGAATCAAAGTTTATGAGATTTGAAGGGCAAGCGCAAGTGGAGGAAACAGAGGAATTAAAATATTAATTTCCATAATAAGTTTATGACGATAAATATTAAATAAATTTTTAATGCCTTGATTTCCAAAGGAATTTCTGGTATGATTTTTTAAAAATTTCATTAAGCCTCCGAGTTCCTATATAAGCTTAACCATGAATCTTTTGCATTTACTATTTGTAAGCTATATTTAAGACTAATGGACGCTTACAGCTTTATTAATAATACTGAGATACATGTTCAGCCTCTACAAAATTACCAAATTTTCAAATTTAAACTCAGTAAAGAACTCATAACCCCAAAATCCCCTCTAAACCCCTCAAAACAGGTCCAAACACCTCTATCCCTCCTCTAAATCCTCAAAACTCCTCAAAACCTTCCTAAACCTCCCTCTTCCTTCTCCCATTCCCTTCCTGACCACCCTCACTAAAATTCCATACTTTAAGCCCCTACCCCAGCCAGTCCTTATCCATATCCCTCTCTCCCCTCCCTTCCTTCCCACTTGCTTCCACCTTAAAAGACCGCATCACCTTGCTCTTAAAGCCTAAATTCAGGTCCACAGTTACGCTTTGGGGGATTTTAGGAGGTAAAAACTGTGAAATTTTAGAACTCCTTCGGGGATTTTAGGTGAAAGGGTGCTAGGGGGTTGAGTGGGAGAGGGGTGGGTTAGGGGCTGGGTTGTGGAGGGTTAAGAGGTGTAGGGAGAGGTAAGGGATGGGATGGCTTGGGGGATATGGCCTTTGTTGAGATGGACGCTCCTCCACAAATTCTTCGTTTTTGGGGAGTTATGTTTTTAGCATTTTTAGTGTTTTCGATTCCAGAGTTTTATAAATATTAGTGGGACAACTCAACTATAATAGTCTTCCTAATGGTCTATTCTCTGAATAACTAATGCTTCTTTGGGCTATTTTTAAAGTTTCCTAGCAATAGAGAAAAATTAGAATAAAGTTATAAGTTTTACCTTTTAGAAAATAAATGGAATGGGAGTACTGGTAGAATATTAAGCTACATTTTTTAGAAAATAGATGAGAATCAAATTGTCTCTTATTTATTCATCTCGTACATCCAGCACCTTTAGGACTAATTTTAGACGAAAAATTTTCTTAAAATTTGAGCAATTCAAAAATGTCCCAATATTTCTCAGACCTAGAATTTTATAATTGCATGATTTCTAATCATTTCAGCTATAGTGTTGCTTGAAATGCTTCAAACAATCTTTGAATGCCAAATAAAGCCATGGAAAGGTAAAAAATTGACTGGTAAAACTAACAGTAATTTCACCTATTCTTAATTTTCATTCTGGGCTATAAATATATCGGAATGAAATGCAGTAAACCTTATTCAACTTGCTCTAAACGTCCCGGGGTTTTGGGGTTTTGGGGTTTTGGGG